AAATCCACTTTTGAGTGTGATAGGAACACAGGAATTGAATCTCTGAACTGTAGCTCGAATTCCTGTGATTGAATCACAGAAACTAGTTTCGAGTGTCGAGTCGAGACTAGGCATAGCCAATGACTATGTGGTCTCGCATTGACATAGGCATTGACCCAGTGATAATATATTTTTAGAAATCTTTCAATGTCTTTTTCAGAGGTCTTCACTAGTTTGATGAGATGTGATTCGCAATATCTGTTATTGAAGTAGTGTGGTTATGAAATTAAACTTCTTCGCCTTCATTTCTGTCAATCGGTTCTCTGATTATCTCAGCTTTCCAAGTCGCCGCTAAACCAGATGTTGCCTATTACTTTGGTCTCATCGGTCCCGACAGAATTGAAGAGGCTCGTCGCTTAGGGCAAGAAGGCAAACGACTTGCTCTTCAAGAGAAGTGAGCACCTGACTCTGTTTCGCTCACTACGATGCTCGATCAGGTGGGTGGAAGCTTCTCATGCTCGTGATCAGCTGGAGAATCTCATGTCCGAGATGAGTGGTGGATTGAATCTCTATGATATTCGGTGAGTGTTGGTAATCACTCTCGAGACGCGACAATTTTTCTGTCCTTCAGTACGACTGATGACTATGGCTGGCAAGATGAGCGTCTTGACTATTTCCTCAACCTCCCTGAAGTCAAGGAAGCTCTGCATGTGCCAGCTTCTAGATCGTTCGGGTAGGAATGGTGCGGAGGTTCGATTCTTTCATGTGTCGTTTTTCAAGGACGGAAGTAGCTGTTGGTGAGCACATGAGCGCTGATATCATGAAGCCTATGGTTCACTGTCTTCCCCCTCTTCTCAATGCTAACATAACGGTTATGCTCTTCGAGGGAGAGATGGATTCTAAAGATGGCCTGTTATCGTGAGTGTGATAGTGACAGTTGTAGACAACATGTATATCAGAACGGAAGCCTGGATTCCTGAGATGATTTGGAACGGGATGGATGAGTATGCTATGAGCCCTCGTCATGTGTGGAAGGGAACTGATGTGAGTTTATAATCAATATATTTATAGATAATATGACACTATTTCATATCTAGTATCATTGAAGCTTTACCCGTGATATGAGAAACACGAGTGAAAAATGTATTTCACCATTACTGCATAGCGCCAATATCGGGATTTTCACGGAGTTCTACGCCACTTCACGTAGAACGGGTGAAACTTCGTTATTATCTGTTGGGATGAAATATACAATATATGTTTATGCCCTGATATTGCTTTATATGAATGTGTATAAGAGTTTTATATCATTAACATATAAATTTATGATTATTATTATTGAATTAATAATATCTAGTAATGAACTATTTATAATATTAATAGGTCATCATGTTTGATATATCAAGCTCGCTGCCGCTGGTTGAATAATTTCTTCGTTAAATTCAGGCTAGCAATCTCGAAGAGGCTGTCTACGGTTATGAACGTCATGGTGGATCATTCAGTCATTACTCTGTCCGGTAAGATACTGTAGATGCCACTTCAGGTTCTCAGCATACGCTTGTGCTCAGGAATGCTGGCCATATGGTGCCAATGAATCAACCGGAAGCTGCGATGAACTTGATCGACCGTTTTATTAGTGGCGCTGTGGAATCACTTCATACTACGAAAAATGCTGACAATACCGAAGGTAAACTGTGAGTTGTTTGCGTTTCAATCTTGAGTGTGGTTTTCCACTGTGGTTTTCTTCTGCATGAGCTCGTATTCTCAGTTGCTGCGGTGAGCGCGGGCCGTCTGGCCATTCTAATATGAGATGTTTTGAGTGCATTTACTACGACTTCGAAGCCGTGGTCCTCTTCCGAAGAACTTACTTTTACAGTTATCGTACTCGAGAACTTTAACAACCGAAGTTTAGTGGTTTTCTTGCTTGCAATATCCTCGGTGTTTCGTTGCTGTTCGAGAAGCTAGTGTTAATTGCGATTTCATTTGTTCGCAGATGAGCGTCGGGGAGTGCACTCGGCTCGGTTACCTGAGCATATTGGGGAAGCCCACGATTACATCGGCAGTGGGTAGATGGCAGATCTGATCGAAATCAATGCATTCGTATCACTTCAATCCAGAATTATCTACTCATTATTATTATTTTATAGATTGTCCATCTTCGTTCTTGCGATCGACTAGATGGGCGATACCTGTATGATTCATTCGTTATTAGTTTTGTATAAGTTGTGTCTCTAATACACGTTCTCTATTGAAAATATTTGTCGAGTTCAATTCTAGATTCTACAGCTGCTTATTCTCTTATAGACCCAAGTGACGATTGACTAGATGCTGATATGTGACTCTGAGTTCTACAGCTCCTGCTTATTTACTTATAGACCCAAGTGACGACCGACTAGACTCTGATATGTGACTGAGAATAGCTCCCCATCTATGTAGGTGTCATTCTATATAGAATTCGTCATCGACCATGCTCAGAGGTAACCCTCATTGGGAGGATTCATAAAGGCCAGTTGGACTGTATCTTCTAAAGGCCTATTCCAAGCTTCGCTGATGGGGCAGCTATGCCACGCCAAGTTATGGCCTAGTACTGCTATTACTTTTTTCTCGGATTGGGCAGCTATGCCACGCCAAGATATGGCTTAGTACCGCTATTACTTTTTTCTCGGATGGGGCAGCTATGCCACGCCAAGATATGGCTTAGTACCGCTATTACTTTTTTCTCGGATGGGGCAGCTATGCCACGCCAAGATATGGCTTAGTACTACTATTACTTTTTTCTCTGACGGGGCAGCTATGCCATGCCAAGATATGGCTTAGTACCGCTATTACTTTTTTCTCGGATGGGGCAGCTATGCCAAGCCAAGATATGGCTTAGTACCGCTATTACTTTTTTCTCGGATGGGGCAGCTATGCCACGCCAAGATATGGCTTAGTACCGCTATTACTTTTTTCTCGGATGGGGCAGCTATGCCACGCCAAGATATGGCTTGGTACCGCTATTACTTTTTTCTCGGATGGGGCAGCTATGCCACGCCAAGATATGGCTTGGTACCGCTATTACTTTTTTCTCGGATGGGGCAGCTATGCCACGCCAAGATATGGCTTGGTACCGCTATTACTTTTTTCTCGGATGGGGCAGCTATGCCACGCCAAGATATCGCTTGGTACTGTTGATTTCTCTGATGGGACCACTATCCGAGAGGTGGATGGGAGGAGCCAAGTTGAGAGCCTCGACTACGATCAAGTTCGAATGGATGTTGACCACGGTATGCGTGGTCTTTACTCTGGGCTTAGCGGGGAACATACTACGTCACTAGTAGTGACGTAGTATGAGCAGTCACCAGTATGACTGCTC